TTAAAATCAACGCTTATGGGAGGGAAAGGGGAGGTAGAGAAAGTCGTTGGTAAATTGTATTTATCAATTAATCATTTAGATTGAATTTTAATTGAATGAAGTTTATTCTTGGTAAATGTATAGGTGTAGTACCTTTTGGTGGAGCACCTTAAGATTCAAATTTTTTATTAATTTATCTTTAAACGATATATAGTATATATAACTTCTTGAAGTTGGTATTTCGAGGCATACAAGTCGACGCTCTTCTTCAGGCCATCACTTGTACTTCGCATGGTCGTAGGGTTACCTCCATAATAGTTGGGCTCGAACAAACAAAGGTATTTATTAGTTTTTTGCAACTTTGAAGATAGTCCACGGATGCGCTCACGTACAGTGTGTAATCATAAGATACGGCGAAATATTCCAAGGAAGGGAGTATTATAGTAGAGGAGTTGAGAGCAGATAGAAAAGGGATCGCATGGTACAAACGATACAAATCACCTTTTACTAATGGAATTTGCAAAATGGCAACTAACTTATCACTTTTTAAGTATGATTTAAATGTGCAAAGTTGCTACCACTTTTTTTTCTTGAACTCAACCCGGTCAGCCCAAATCTCAGGGGAAGCAGATTCCTGGTCCACAATTGGACACTAGCCGTAAACTCACCGCTGAGACCTGCCACGACCACGCTAGATGCCAACCCGACGCCCTCCTGCAGTGGATGGTGAAGGTTAAATGATAGAAGTAAATGTGTTCCCTCTCCTTTATTAAGCCTTACAAATCTCATCAATGTAAACAAAAAATTATAAAATTACGGTCGACACAAAAATGTGGTACGTACCATTAATGTTTCACAATTGATAAACGAAACCTTAACAAAATAGATGGTCCAATAAAGAGACAGTGGTTCGTAGTTTCTTCCTCACCTCCCCACACGTGGACGTCACAAATTGGCCCCCCGCTCCCAAGCGTCCGCGTCGTAACCGGCTTCAGGGTTCACTTTTTTTTTCGGCCAGACGGGATTGTTGGTAATATTGTTTTTTAGTTGATACAAAAAAAAACAGGGATAGAAAAAAAAAAGGCCTAGACGGAAATAAAACACATTAGACAAACATTAACAATAACATCACAACATTACCTCCACTCCGGGAAGCCTGTGTTCAAGGGTGTTAAAAAAGAAGATCGCTATGGCTTGTCGGAAAAATAATCCGAATAAAAAAGATTCCGCTTGAAAATACTTTTACTTTCGTATTCTCACTTTTGTCACAAAATAACGTTGGATCCCGATACTTCGGATGAGAAGCCCCAATTGAGATAATTGAGTTACGGTCTTCACGCCGTTCACTTCTCAGAATCAGCACGCTTTTCGATAATCCACAAGCAATCCGATCTTTACTGGACACCACCAAGGTTACTCACAAACAGAGGAAGAGACGAAGAAGGAACACATTTTTATACGAAA